GACCTCACGTCATAGAAGTAGGTTTGATTAGTTAACTTGAATGTCAAGATATTCATTGAACTAGTTCAAATTAATTTCAAGCAGTGGGCTCAGTTTCAAGAATGGCTCTCTTCTTCTACTTTCTCTCCACATTTCTTTATTGTAACGTCAGCTCCCCTGTTCTTTCTGAGGCTCTGTTTGTTGAGGTATGCCTCATGGGATAATACCTTATGACCTGCTCAGCCTCCAACAGGTCCCAGCAGCAGGTATACCTGAACCTATTTAAAACAGGTCTCTCTGTGCGGAGAAGGGCGTGTGTGTTGAAAGTGAGAGTGTCACACCTCGACGGGCCTGTTGCCCACCTAAACTTCCCCCAGAGCCTGAAGATTTAACACTGACAGGGAAAAACACTCCATGTTCAGATTTCCTGTTTTCTTTGCCCCTCGCCCACTGACACTGCTGACACTGCTCTGTGTGTGACTACATAAGGGAACACTTTGTCAATGTGAGCAACAACATGTGTTTCTAGGATCTCTATGAGGGAAACACTGTTAAACAATGAATAGAATAATTAGCACTATAACTAACATTTGTGTTCTGTTGGTGGGGGGTGGGGGGGTTATTTGTGACAAATAACAATATTAATTCTTAATAATAGCCCTACTGACAACCAGGAAGTGTTTTGCTCTCTGCTGGGAAAAAAGTAAGCCCATCTCTGTATCTATGTGGTTTGATGAGTTGTTAATTTGTGGCCCATAAGAAAATGTGATGTGTAATTTAAATGGATTCATCTACTCAGCATTATGCTGATGGAGGGGTGGGTGAAGGGTTTGGGCCCACAAAACACTTCTGGAGTCTCAGGGGTTAACAGTGTTTCAGCAGAATCCAATACAATTAAAGTCAATGGTTTCCTTTTCTTAAGATATAATAAAACAGAAAAAAAAAACTTAACATGCCTCCGTACATCTCATGTGGTGTCATCCAAGTGTCTGCAAGCCCCGACATTCGTATTTGACTCGAAACAAGGTCATTTACATCATGTTTTAAGCCTAAATGTCCTCTGATAACTTTCTTACGAGGGACCATCGAGTACATCAGCATTAGGCTACATACGCTAACTTCATTACTTCTGGTAGCTGACATTTAGCCTTAAAATTAGAGTTGAATACAAATGTTGGGGCTTGCAGCAGTATGGAGGCATGTTGTGTTTTTTTTCTGTATTATTACGTCTGAAGAAGGCTAAACACTGTTTATCCCTGAGACTCCTGAAGTGTTTTGTGGGCTCGAACACTTCACCCACCCCTCCATCGGCATAGTGGCGAGTAGATAAAGAGTGAATTTTGAATTGTGAACTATCCCGTTCAAGGAAGAAAGAATTTTTTATTTGGGGTCTCGTTTTATCAAGTTTCTCAGAAAAGTGGATTCCAAACCATGTGTCCGGACCAAGAGGTCCCGAGGCACATCTGAGGGATCAAAAGTTAGGTAAAAAGAAAAAGGGTTAGGGTTAGTTTTTTATGATTTTTTCTCTTGCATTCAGTGGCTGAAAATGTTGTTAATGTACTAGTTTTTCTTAGGAAATAGAACAAATAGGAGAACAGTTTGTACCAACACTGCCTTTCTCGCAGAGAGAGGGTTTGTAAGTCATTACCGAGGTATTTGTACTTTCAAGGTTTCATTTGGTTTCACTGCTGCGGGAAAACTGAAAGTTAAAACTTATTCTTAGCACCTGGAAAAAGCCTGAAAGTTACATTAAGTTTCGGGTGATCTCTACTTCCCCACCTTTGTCATTGACTCAAATTGAAATTAGTATAACAGCATAAGCAAGACACCCAGGTACGCTCGTGACCGTTTCCAAAGAGGAAATGAGAGGTTAGCCATGTGATCTTGGTCATTTCCACCCTCTACCCACCCCCATATCGCCCTCTAAATCTGACAGCTTGTTTAATATGACTCTGGTCTGGACCTCACATAGTTATTCTTATCAACAATCAAGGCAAGGCTTTTCTATCCGTCAGATGACAACAAGATGGGTGTGAACCCGTTTATCAGCTGGTCATCAATCATTGATAAGATTAAATACACCGGCACTGAAGGATAAAGATATCTATGAATGAGATTACCTGATAAGGAGCCGTTTCCACAAAATTTTACACATTTTAACTGCATCAGGAACTAAATTAGTGGTTGTGTGGGATGTATGTGTGTGTGTGTGTGTGTGTGTGTGTGTGTGTGTGGACAACTTTAATGATAAATCCAGGCACTTCCCTTGAAGCCAGCCTGGCTCTGGGTCTGTCCTGGTTGCAGAGACTGCGTGGCGCTGGCTACGCAGCTCAAGGCCTGGAGGAGTTTTCCTTCCAGCCACACACACACACACACACATGCTTTTTCATGCATTCTTCAGATTCCACATCTGATGCATAAGTCTGTGTGTTTGAGCATCACTCTGAATTGGCCACTTAAGCCATTAAAGAAAAAATATAATGACGCTTGATCTGTTACACAGCTTTCCCTCTGCATTTCCTCCTAAGAGGTAATGTAGTCAGCCGCATGTGCCGGCATCTAAAACTAAAATCAAGAGTAGAGAAGTCTGTTAACACAGACCAAGCATCCAAGCGTCCAAGCTGGCCAACAGGCCACCATTTCAGTTGAGATATGATAATTATTTCCACTCATGATGTTGAAAATGTTAAAATACAAAGTTGTACATAAAGTACATGGGGTGGTAGGATAACTTAGGCTACATCCATACTGCTATTGTTTTTAAACTAACATGATCTCTGTCCTCATGAGCCTTTTGGCTCTGTATCAGTTTTAATCCCAATCCCGTAAAAATGGCTGAAAATCAAGTGACCATTAATGAACACTGGGCATGCGCGTGCCGTGTCATTGTTAGTTGCCGAATTGTTTCATACTGCTTGAATAATAGCTCGTCTCCAAAAAAACATAAGCAGTTGAATGATTGTAAAATGCAGCATTAAACTGCACAACAGCTCTTAGCAAAGACAACAGGATCAGCAGTGCTTGTAATTTTTTTGTCCATGTTGCGTTCTCCACTGGTAGCTGTGGCTGATGCCGGTTGTTTTCTTTTGGAAAGGGTCATGTGACAGGAGCCTGACGAATCAGGCTATGCCGTGGCCAAAAAAAAACCTAATCAGCAAGCGTTTGTGTCTACATTATTGTTTCCACATGTCTCTATTTCTTCCGGTCCAGACTAAAACTCTGCTACGTTTTCAAACAATAACTGGGCCAAATCCAGGCCTCTATAACTGGGCCGGCAGCATTTCCAAACTTCTCCATTTCCTAAAATGTATTGCGAGAGAAAAATTATACTGTAAACGCTCACATTTGTGACCTCCATGTTTCAGTATCACCAACTTTTCCTCCTCCTTTACCTCTGTGCACAGCGTGCTGCGTGTGACGTCTTGGACATTGGAGTCTGATACTGGCAACGTTTGACAAGACATTGTGAACAGCTACATGAAAAAATAAGCAAAAAGAAATAAGCAAGAAAAGCTTGCAGTGTGAACGCAGCTTAAATGAATCAGCTAATCAAAGTCAGTGGAGTTCAACCTCTAGAGACCTGAAATTCTATACATCATAGCAAACCATCAAGTCTTCAGTCTGGACCATTTAGCATTATTAATGTATCATCACAAGGATTTAAAAAAAACGTCAGTGTGTGATCAGCTGATCTCAGGCGTAGGGCCAAGCGGCTTTCACACCATCAGTTTCACACTCATCAATATTAAGAAGTCAGAGTGACAAAGATATTCTCTTGTTGTGACACATCAGATGCTGAACCACTCCCTTTGATACCCAGTGGGATTACCATTTCATGTTCCCTCCTGTACACGCCGTACTGTACCTTATCTGCCACACTGCTCAAGATCAGACATGTCCTACATTTAAACTGAACACGTTTCAACAGATCAAATAGCAAGATTGGATTCTTATTTATAAGAGCTGCAGCTGACAGAGGTGCAGATCTTATCAGGAGCATGATGAGTGCAAATGCTGCTGTTTAACAAATCATGACACCAGATCAGCAGACTCGGGCTCGTCAGCAATATTCATGTCTGTTATTTAAAGTGAGATCAAAGTCTGAATGGTCAAGTGTGAGCTGATAGAGTCAACAGACAGGGTGGGGCAGCTCCACCCATGCTCCATAGAAATCAAGCTGCCTGACAGCTATCTGCCGTCTTTTCCTGGAGATCACTGGCACTGAAACCTGAGCTGATTTGGAATAGTTGAAGCCCAACAGAGAACAAATGACACTTCCATGATTACATTAGTTTTTTGACAGGATATTCAATAAATGTGAAAATATGTTAATAATCAAGAAATCCTTGGATAATGATGAGCTTTTCTTCACCATATTCAAGATGAACCTGGAACTCATTTCTGAACTACCGGTTGGAAATAATATACTTGTAGTGTTGTAGTGTGACAAACTTTCTGGTATTTTATAGACCAAGCAATGATGAAATCTCAATTCACTGCTACCGCTTTTCTCCTTTGTTTAAATTACAAACTTAACAACTTAGGGTTTTGGAGAGTTTCTGTTTGACATCACCGATGTGACCTTGGGTTTCAGGGATACTGTGGCGAGCATTGTTTCTTCATTCTCTGTCATGGCGTAGATCAAACAATCACGAAACTTATAAAGCAGACAAATTGATGATAATATCTAAATACAATAGGCTCAAGACTAAAAAGTTAATGTCTGGTCAAATAAAAAGCTTGTAATCAACATAATAGAGTAAATTCAACCGTTTTAAAACCAGTATAAAACTGACCAGGATCGTTAGTTTGGTCAGACCCCCTCCCCACCCCTGTAGCTACATGACAGAAAGTACACAGACGATGGCACAACACATGAACTCATTTCATCCAGTAAGAAGAACCAGAGTCACACCAGCATTCTCACACATTAAGCGACTCTTTCAGACAGCGGCCGCTGCGTAAAAACGCACGTGTGCCAAAAGCAAGCACGCACCGAACAAGCGTCCGGAGCCCCTCACCTGAGATAATCTCCCGCTTGGCTTCATCCAGGTGACTGGAAATGACGTCCCCCATGCTGGATGAAAGTCACAGAGCCGGGCTTGACGCCTCCGCAGGTCTGAATGTGGTCTCCTAGCAGGACACGCGCAGGGGGATCGGTTCAGAGAGGAGCAGCCACTAGTAGAAGCCTCCTCACCTCCTCTCCAGTGTTGGACTGGAGCGCACGCAGGACCCGGGCGGTGGCAGACAGAAGGAAAGTGTGGGGCCTGTTTCTCGGACAGACACACCCTCCTTCAAAGTGAAGGGCCACTCCCACTTTACGCTTGTGCTGCGTTCACGGCATGTGGGGAAATTCACCGCAGTTTCCAGAACGAAAATACCTGTGTAGACGGTAGAGAAATGACAATACTCAAACATTTTTGAGATTGTATTTCAAATACAACATTTCAACTACTGCTACTAGAGCTAAGTAAGCTATTAGAGCAACATTTCTCTCAACATGAAGGTTTGAACAGTGCTACAAAGCCAGTTACATGAATTTAGAGGAGAAACATTTATGAATCTGAAGGCTACTTTAAAAAGTTACAAACTACATTCATTGTGGGAACTGTTGCTTTCTCTATCATTGTTAAGGTCTTGACCTTCTATGCAAAGTGCCTGATTTGCTGTCTAGGCCCCACATAGCACCGTCTTCAGGGCCCAGTGGCCATAATGTCCCAGGTTAATCCAGTCATGCTGATAACCTGCAGTAACTGATAGCAGCCTGTCTGCAGAGTTTTAAACACAGAAGCATTTCAAAGGGGTTTTCATATGGAAAAACTAAAACTTCAATTACACATCTAGTATATTGATCAATCGTGTTCCATATAATGAAAGAAAATAGAAAAGATGTTCTTCGTGTAATAAATGATAAGAAACTGCAGTAGAAAATATCAATGTCTGTGGCACATAAGTGACACAAGCAGCTGGAGTTACAGGGAATTTAATGTCATCAGGAAAAAGCAAAATTACAAATTACAAAACATTTGCTGTAAAAAAGAGGGTTTGTTTTGTTCACATTTGTCCTCAAGTGCATCTTTCTATAAACAGTAATAAGGCCCTGCTGCAAATTCAGATTTTGTGTTTTACTTTAATATGAAGCCAGTGCATCAATACAGTCCATAAGGCCTCTGTGAGAACTTGAGATGTATCAGCACATTATGTATATACTAGTGTTTCT